CTGAAGTAGTCTTACTCTCCCCTTCTCCTTGCCTGCTGTCTCTCAGTTTTTTCTCTAATTTTCTCTAATGCTAAGCCTTGTCTCTAGCTGTTTTTCCAAGAGGAAAAATGAAGTGTTGCTGCAAAGGAACAGAACCAGGACAGAACATCATCATAGTTCAATTGCCCCAGGATTCTGTTAGCAAATCTCCATAGCTGGCAATATTTTGATTGCTAGACTGGCTGCTTGTTGGCTATCAGTCACTGGTAAAATCAGAATTGTATAGTCTACATCCATACTGACAGATGTGTTGGAATCAGAATATGAAAAATTTACTTCCCAGATCCAAGACACATATTCTGCAGAATAAAGATTTATTCAGATTTGCTTAACTCTGTTCAATTTTGCTTAGCTTTAAAACATCTGTATTCACCAAACATAAGTTTCTTATTCTAAGTAAATAGATTCATGTAATTTCATTAAGCTGTATAGTCTTTCAGCCACAGTCCTCTCTATATCCATAAGACAGTCCACAGGAAATAATTTATTAGCATTATCAATGACTTACAAAGTCAGACTACCATTTACTACTATGTAAAGTAGTATCAAGGATCTTCAGCAGATAACTCTTCCTTCTGCATGGATTAACAGTTGAATTCCACATGCTTAGTTATTTTCTCATTCATTTATACTTATTCATTTCATATATTATTATACTATTAATTTTTAATTTTATAGTAATTTAATAATTGTTACTCCTTTCTTAATTATTTCTCAGGCACACTATTTCCTTGACTCAGAATTCTGAAGTAGTTCTCCCTTATTAAAACTTTCTGTATAGCTTCAGAAACAGCGACTCAGCCTTCGTGGGAATCATAACATGTTTATGACATTGTAGGGGTACAGAAAGAAAATCTTTCCCCAAAGACACCTTAAGGGCTGCTAAAAGGAAACAAATACTTTTAACTCCTACCAACTTTTACCTCTGGGACAGTTTGTGACAGATGAAACGATAAAAGAGGACTCTTTATGGCTTGAATTTACAACTTACATTTGATTTTTCTTGCACATTCCCCACTACTGACAGTACCTTTTAATGACACAAGCATACTGCTGCCTGCATAGCCCATTTTTTAAACAGCACATACCACAATCACAGGAGGCTATGTAGTGTGAAGATGACCTGCAGTAAAAAATTCTTGGGTTGGCCATGGAAGAAACAACAAAAATACTGTGTGATCTAGATACTGACTCCAAAGAAAAGCAATTTTCGCTTTCTGGGGAAAAGAAAAATCATATAGACTGACTACAATTTTATTTTTCCACTACACTAATGTTTTCAGCATGGACATTGCATGGAATTCTTGCCAGTTCAGCAGCTCTAACATTGTTACCAAAGAATATGGGTAAAAGATAAAAATGCACCATCTTATGCATATACTCCAATATATTTGCTTCACATGCATAGATGCAATGCTCTTCAAGTCAGCACTTTTGGGGCCTTTCATGCACTTAAATCCCTGGTTAGGCTAGACTTACAAACAATGTAACCTCAATTAAAGAAAAAATATTTGTTTTGGGAAGCCCTGCATAGTTTTTCTTTCCTTTACTTTACAAAAATCCCTTTTATGGATTGTGTGCACACTTGTAATTAGCTTTAATCTGACTCTACCATCACGTTTTAATTTGTTGCTCAGCCTCAGCAAAGCCACAATACCAGAAGGGATTCCTGTTCTCCTGCTAGGCACTCTCTAGGACATTCACAGTGCATATCAAAATAAACTGGATCTTACCTTTCATGTACTGTAAATTAATTACTAGACCAATGCTCTTAGTTGCTTGTCTATCTCATTCTCCAGCTGAGATGAGTTTATGGGTATCTCTCTTCTGATCCATTCAAGCATCCAGTCAAATAGATCAAACCACAGATAACCTGTTTTGAGTTTGAAATGGAATACAGGAAGAGAAAGGAGGCCCACAGCTGGATGCTGCCTCAGGTGGGAAGAAACAGCACAGCTTCTGCTGGCTGGAGCGCACATCTGCTAGTGCAAGTGTTTCCTTTTTTCACTCAGCTTCATTAGCCAGGTTTATGCAGGTGGTTCTGATTTCAGTCAGGAAGGGCAAAAGCTAACATCAACCCTTTCACACTTAGACCAGCAACTGCTGCAAGTGAAGTGCTGAGACTGCCATGTGCAGCCTTTCTCCAACACTCGGTGGTGGAACAGAGAAGGGTAGCTGGGTAGCCACCAGTCTTCCTGAGGAGATGTTATATATTAATTTTTCAGTGCTGTACCGGAAGAGAGGAGCACAGTAGGCTTGACTAGTAGGCTTGACTAGGAAACACTGGAAGTATGCCTGGCAAGCCCATCAACTCTCTGGGTCTAAGACAAAGGCAGGACTCTAGATCACACATGTTGTGGAGCTAAACAATGGTATTTTTCTACTTTGAGACAGATTTCACTTTCTTTTTTTTCTTTTTTCAATTTTTTATTTGGTCTTGGTGTTACAGATTTTAAGGGCTTTTTTCCTTGGCCAGTATATTTACAAAAATACTAAACCAAGCAAAAAATGCTTTTGTATAATTCCTCTGACACATCATTCAGTTCTAGTTCTGGCCTCCTCATTAACCCCACTTTTTCTCTCCTTCCCTGTGGTACAATATATTCCATTTGCACTTCTTTCATTACAAATCTCTTTATTTTTCTTAGGAGTATGTTGCTTACAATTATTCTTCTCTTCTTCCTAAGTTCAATTGGATCTGTCAAATTTGCAATCCATAAAATAATCCATATTAGAACTACTATATTATTTACTGTTCACTGTTTAGGACCACAGAATTTTTGTGCTGAGTGGTCTGTAATAGTTCAAATCAACTGGAGTCCTCAGGAAAGAAACTCAGATCTCTCATCCTATATTTCTGTGGATGGGAAAAAAACAGCATACAAACAATAGCTATTGTTTATTGACACTTCATATATGCATATGCATATATTATGCAGTCTGGTGCTCCTAGTTTGTTTTGAAAGGAGATTATAGGACCCTATAAGAAGAAAATATTGCATGCTGAACAATTCTTACTGATATGATGCCAAATAAAATGGCTTTGCTTAGACCTAGATTGGGCTGATGCATTTCTGTCCCTCCTCACCTTTCTGTGATGTATGAGACAGAGACTGCTGCTGTCCAAGGCTGCTGAATTAACAGAATGAATGACACAAAAAAAGAAATCCTCAGGGTAAGAACCAGTTTGAAGAATATGATTCCAACAAAGGCCAGTCAGTGCAGAACTTCTGGTTATGTGGGTGTACTGAACTGCTAGTGAGTGAAACACTAGATTGCACTGGTGTCCTTTTGAAGACCATGGAAGAGAAACGTAGGGGAATATCTTGGCCTTTCCTCAACTAAACACCAAAATCCCATTCACTTTTTTAAGCCAGGATTTCATCCCATGACTGGGGCAGAAATCAGTCATGAAGCTGTCGTAGCAGATGGTTGAGCCAGGATCTGGGACACAGATTTTGGGAGTGTAGATAGGATTCAGAAAATGCTGGCAATTAGGAATGGAACTAACAATTGAGCTTGCAGATATAAAACTCTTGAGATACAGAATGTAACCTTGAAATTAAACTTCATAACTAATGTCTTTCTAACTTTTTTTAGCGCCTCAGAAGAATAAAATCATGGCATCATAGAAAAATTAGCGTCCTGTTAAAAGAACTGTTATGAAAATAATGAAGTTTAGAAGCATTTAATATCCCTAGAATAAAGAATATTTGTTTGACTTTATCTGAAGTTCATTTCTGTATGCCTAACACTATTGTCACAGCAAAAAACATAATATATTAGTATAGTATAAGCTTATAAATCCATGACATAATTTTTTTTAATCTGATAAATATCAAATCTCTATTAATATGGAAAAAATTTGTATAAAATGGCATTTTGGCAACTAGAAATTGATTAGGAGAATATCTATCAAAAATGAGTGGAAAACATAACCAAAGAGCTTCATAACACTTAAGAAATATATAGCAATATAGCCTTCCTTATTAAATTTAGAATTAGGAAAAGTTTTCACTCAAAAGAAGGAAGAAATCTGAGTTATGTGTATTTGTTGCTGTGAGAAACTGTTTTATGTATCCACCACTTGCAGTAACAGCATTGCCTTCAGCACCATCCGTATGTGACTGATATGGCCATTGGGCAGAATTAAAAAATCTAATGAGGCTGGATCAAGATCTGTGAAATAATCTACAGCTTGCAGGGTGGAAAAAAAAACTGAACCCCACAACAATCTGGCTAATCTAAAAATATGGATTTATGAAATTTTTATGAGCTACCAATAGATTTTTTTTTCTGGTTTGAATAAGTCAGTAGAAGTTGCTAATGTTTAGTACCTAGATGAAACTAGGTCATTTAATCTCCTTCCTAAAGCTTCCTAATCTCTGGCCTTTCTAGTCTTCAGTCAGTGTTTGAATCTTGATAATTTCTCTTATGAGCTGAAACTGTTTGAATGGGGATACAGGGAGAGATTTAGCAGATCCTCCTATTGATAACCTAATGCCCATGCTGATATCACTATATTTTTTCAATTTTTAATAAAAATAAAATTAAGTTTAAAATTGAACCAAGCATAAAAGAGATATTATACAATGGAGAAGCAAGCATTTTCCTTGCGCACAGAAATGTTTCCAAATCATAAGTCACAAAAAAAGTGTGATCTCACAGAGGAAATTTCCTATTGTTAAAATGAATAATGGGGGTTTTTATAAGAAAATAAGAATTTCAGACCTTATCGAAGTCTTAATTTTTCAGATATTTTGCCCTTTTCTTTCCAATGTGTACTCCTGTTATATTGGGGACTTTCTTTATTACAAGTCACTGTGGGTAATTGAAAACATAAATCTTTTTCTAGTGAACAAATATATTTGACATAACATAAATTCTTTAGGAGTGTGCACTAGAAGTTGACTGTAAAAGCATTATATTTCTCTTGACTATTTCCTCTTTGTTGTAAAAAGGGAAGTTCACATGTATTGAAGTCCGGTTCCACCTGGAGAGGCAGATGGGTTACTATCTCATCCAGATGTACATACCCAGCCTCTTGATCGTGATTCTCTCCTGGGTGTCATTTTGGATCAATATGGATGCAGCTCCAGCCAGAGTGGCTTTAGGCATAACTACTGTACTGACCATGACAACACAAAGCTCAGGTTCACGAGCATCTCTTCCAAAGGTAGGCTAAATTTCCTTTGTTTGTATTATATTAATCATAATGTTATTTGGCAAACACTTTCATTAAACCTTATGTGTTTTAATTTTAACATCCAATAATTTCCCAAACCAGATAAATGATTTTGAAATATGTAGGGGTCTTTTGATTCTCCAGTCAAATATATCCTATTTCTCCCCTGTCTCTACTATACAGCCAGCCACGTGTCTAGTTAATTCCATAAACCTTAACAAGTAATGAAAACATTACTCAGTTTTATATAAACCCTGCTTAACAATTGACAGGCTGATACTTTTTCACATCCCAGTATCTGGTGACATGCTAGAAGATATGATTGAAATTCTAAAGGCCATAGATTCTTACCATAGATTCTCACCATAGATTCTCAATTGTATTCCTCTCTCAAAACTTCCTAAATTATGAATTAGCTCACTAGTTACAAACACATTTACATTAAGATGTAGAAAAATGTGAACCTTAACAGCTCCAAACAATTGCTCAAAGTTATTCTCAACACAATGAAAACCACTTAAAGTTTATTTCTATGATTATTTATTTCTGTTTTCTTAGTTGTAATTGCTTTATATATTTTCAATTTCATTTTAAGGCTTACTCCTTGACCATCTTCATGTGCCATTGCAGCTAATAGAAATAAAATTTGTACAATAAAAATAAACAAATTTCAATTCTGTATTAGTTTTAACATGATGTTTTTGTCAAATTAACTTTTTTTTTAAGTAAAACGGATACCCCTAACAGATTTGAGCATGCTTTGTGAGCCAAATATGTGAAGCTAGATGTATCTGAAGTTAGCATCAACAGATAAAACAGAATGCTCTAAAAACAAAAAAACAGCAATGTAAGAGGCTAACAGAGAGCTGTAGATTATTTTTTCATATTTTGAGGCCTGAAGTTAGTTGTTTGCTTATATAAAAAAAGCTCTTGTAACTCTGCAAAGACGGAGTAGGTTCACATCATGTCCTGCATCTGGTCTTGGCAATACGGAATTGCAATGAGCTCTGGCCTGTATCTGATTTTTAGTACTTTCACTGTGACAAAACTACAGGACTAATTTGAAACTATACATTTGATTTCCTGTGCCTATATTAGCAAAGATTGAACTCATCAGACCTATCTCCTTTACCTATCTCCTTTCTTCTACCTAATTTTTATTCCAGGAGCTTTCAGCCACATCCATTTTAATACAGGAATTCCAGCTGGTCCCACTACAAGCTATTTTTCACTTCCTTAGTGTCATTCACAGATCTTAGTGGGACGAATGAAGGAAGAGCATGTGTTTGAGGATTATTTCATTCATGATGTAATACACTATAAAGATCTGTTAATGATTTAAACACATTTTGTAAAAGAATACATTTTTTAAACGAAAACTCTATATTTATAGATTGAATTGTTTTTCTTATTACTGTCTAACTTTCATGAAAAGTTTTTTTCAATAGAAATATTGCTGGGATATGGAGATATTAATGCACTTCCTCCTGACATATGAAGTACTAAACTTTACATCTGTGGAACATTTTACCATGCTCAGGCTTCCCCTGTCTCCTCTCATAGGTGTCATACGTCAAAGCCATTGACATCTGGATGGCGGTGTGTCTGCTCTTTGTGTTTTCTGCCCTTCTGGAGTATGCAGCTGTAAACTTTGTGTCGAGGCAGCATAAAGAACTCCTGCGCTTCCGACGCAAGAGGAAGAAGAGCAAGGTAAAAGTAACAGTGTTCTCAGCTTTTTAAGGGTCTGACTGAGTTGTGCCAGGATACAGGGTTAATTTGGTCAACACACTGCAGCTTGAAGTGGCAATAGAAATAAAATGGCAGCACAGCATAAAATTCACTTTAGGCAGAAGGTCACTACAAGGACTATGAATTGCATAAATCCAACTTGAATTCTCGGAAGAGGGATTAAGAGGGATTTAAATGAGGCACGGGCCATGTGGGAGCCATCTGCACAAGCATGAATTTCACTCTGTTGGAAGAGTTAGATTATACCTCTGTGAATGAATGTTACTGGTATTTGAGGCAGTTTTTACTACTGTGAGATTCAACAAATGTTGTTTCCCCATTTCATTCTAATACTCAATTCAAAGCCTTAGCAGCTGTGTTTCATGCAAATATTTTTTAACACACAAAGTACTAATTCAAATAACATCATTGGTAGAAGAAAAAACATTTTACTTTAAAATGCTGGTAAGTTTGGGGTTTTTTTCTCCTGTCCAGTAATTTTGTTTTAGTTGTTCATATTATTGGTAAGAAACTTAATTATAGTAATAGTTATTAGTATTTATATTAGAGCTGGAGCTAAACAGACTACCAGTAAAATAACTCACTACCAGCATGGAAAGCCAAACAGCTGAGGTTACAAGTTTGAATTCTGAAATTTGTAGTTAAGCAATAAAGGAACATTTCTTACAATGTGTAACTCCTACTTCAGATTTTACAAAGTGTAAGTAGTTTTCCAGTCTACTTATTAAATGAGCACCCCCCCCCCCCCCCCCACTACCAATGTAATGCCTGTCACTATCAGTCACTATCTAGAATATTGCTAGTGGATGAAAATCTGACCATAGCTAAATGATTCAGTTCAGCCATTTTTCATTGCTGAAGGCTTAGTCTACTGCTTACATCAGCAGGAGAAGATATGTTACAAGTTTCCCTCTTGCTTAGAAATTCTGCACTGCTGTAAAGCCTACCTAAGCAGTCTCTGTTAGTAAGATTCAGTGATAAAAGGCAGGCCAGACAGTCAGGTGTAAATGACATTTTCATACATTTGCCTGTCCCTGTGTGGTGAGTCCCAGACTTTTTCAGCTGCACAGAGAAACTCATGTACTGTAGACTAGAGGATGATTCAGACTGCAAGTGCCTGTGTTCAGCGTTTGATCCCATGAAAAATGTGCTTCTTTCTTCCTGCTGACAGTAGCAGAACAAACAGCACTTTTGTTACAAGGTGTTTTTTCTTGGAATATGGCAGCTCTCTGAAAGCTGTCCTAACATTTGGAATGGGAAGAATGGGGTGGGGCAGACAGGAATTACTGGATGGGGGTAGGTAAATCACAAGTGAATTATGTATCAAACAGCTGTGGTAAGTGATATATTATGTCACTATACTTTTAGTCCATTCATCTTTCTCACCATGTATTATTGTTTCTTCTGGATCTCAAGCAAATTTACCAGTTTCAACTTCAGTGATATCTCTCTTAAATGCAGGTCAATTATTATGACCACAGGATTAGGAACTGGCAGGAAGTATCTTCCTTCCTCAGAATCAAACCAAATTTCTTTTCAGCACCTTCTTAGCAAGACTCCAAATTCACCAAAGACACTCGTTCAGCAATCACAGTCAATTAAATTTCAGCCTAGAGGTATGTGAAAGAGGAACCACAATATAAAAAGGACTTCTAAGAGTAAAAGGACTTTTAAAGAAAATAGGTTTGTGCATGAATAACCATATTGGCTTAAGTGTTTTTCTGGATCATGGTATTCTTGAATTCACACTTAAAAATCCTTATTCTAATTTTACACTTTGCTAGACAGTCTTTAGCTTCCGGTAGATTGCCTGCTAAATTCTCATAAAATTGCAGAGTTAGAATTAGAGACTTTGGAGTGCACAATAAAGTATCAAGTACTTTGCTTTGATTCTGAAGGATGGAGATGTTAATTTCAATGTTTTTCTCCACAATGTACTTCAGGTGAGGGTCTTAAATATATTTGGGGGTATAGGGATTTCCCTTCTCCCTGTACCTATATGTTTCATCATGAGACAAGCTTCTCAGTCTAAATTTACTTCAATATTCTTTGTTCTTGTACAAGGTTATGATTTTAGGAAAATAGTAATTTTTCAGAAAATATTAATTTAACTAAATGTTTTTTGACTCACTCTAATTCCATGTAGAGTTAGAGCTCCTGGACAGAGTTAACCATTGAGAATACAGCTTCTCAAACTCTAGAGACAGCTCAGCTAATTGTTTCTCTCTTTCTCAATGTTTTATGAAACCTTTCCTTGCACAACACGTATACAGGACTTGAAACATTACAGCATGGAGATTTTATCTCTTAAAAAGAAATTTGGATCACATCCTAAACCCTCTGTTATACAAATTATACATGAGTCTTACACATTGAAAACTGTAGTTAAAAACTTTCCTTCCTTACCACAAATGCTATTATTTATTCACCACAATTTATAACATAAAATGCAGGCCCTAGGATCATAACTCAAAGTAACTTGGTTTTCCTTCTTTTGTCTTTTTTAAAGTCAGTTACTAGAGCTCAAACTTACAAAGTTTTGTATGTTTATTATTCCTTTGGACTAGGTCAAACAGCCACTGGCTCTCAGGGATTAGATTTTATTGACTTTGAAAACTGCCGTGTATTAAGAAATGTTCATTTGACCATAAAGTCAAGAGGTGAAAAGAGTTTATGTAAAAAGGCTGCATGTAAACTTCAGTGGCTTCCTTGAACATTACATCTTCTTCCTTGGCAAAGAGAAAAACAATATTGTATTCAGTATTTATGTCCAAAACTTTTAGAGAAATAAAGCAGATAGGATAACTTATTAGACTTTTTCATTCTGTATGCTTACCATCTTGGAACATTTTCCTAAGATCAGGTTTTTTTACCAGGTGAAGTCTAAGTGTTGAATACAGATTTTATTTTTTTTGCCACTGGCATTTTATCTACAAGGGTACAGCAAAACTTCTAGTGATTTGACATGTTGCAAAAGTGCAAAAAAATGTTTCATTTCAGGTATGTGTAGGGCAGCTGAAGAATTTCCAAAGTCTATTTTCTTTGTAATTAGTAAGATATGCTTGTTGCAAGAAATATTTTTACCAAGTAAAAAAGGTAAAAGCTCTATGATTGAATTTCAGTGTCTTTGGGAGGTAAGTGGATCCATTTTGCTGACTTAAGTAAAGATCATTCATACCTAATTCATCCTAGCCAAAAAAAAATTCCACAAGGCCCCTTGAAATCTATTCCAATTGTTTAAAAAGATTTTTTTCCTAATGTGTTTTTTTGGCCTGTCATAGCTTGTCTAGAAAAGACACAGAAACCAGATTGCTTCATTCCTTCATGTCACCATTTGCACATTTCCATTCAGTCTTTTCTATAAATATTCCCAGTGGACAAAATTTTTTGTTTTAGTTTGCATTGGGTTTGGGGGTTTTGTTTTGTTTTGTTTTTTTCTCATTCACCTTCCCTGGAAATTCTCCTAATTAGTCCATATAATTCCTCAAAACTATGTTTGCAACATGATCAACATGAAACCTATTGTGTAACAGTTGAAAGCAGCCAAAGGATCAAGTGATCAAGTTATACAGTTTTTTACCCAATCTGGTTTACAATTTGCCTTTTAAACAACATCATGTTATTAACCCATATCATGATTTTGATCTTCTCTATCTTCTGGGTCTTTTTCCAGAGAAACACCCTGCAGGGACATTGGCTTTCCAACTAATACAAAGCTGGTTCTCTCTGGCTAAATGTCATACTTACTGATTCTCCTGTATTTTTCAAATGCTTTGTTCAACTCATTGCATTCAATTTTATTTCTAAACATACATTCAAACAAATTTTCATGTTTTCATAGTTTGAAATATTTTTAAAATTAATTTAAACTATGGGTTATGTCCTTCTGAAAACACAGGAGAGCTGGAATCTCTCTTTTAAGAAGCATATGCTTGAATTCGGATAAGACCCCTGCAGAAAATTCTATTATTATGAAAATTGCAGTTCTGTACAGAACTGCAAGAAGACATTTTGGCATCTAGAGTTCATCTATCTTTCCCATTTTCCTTATGCTTTTTCCACTTATAGTCACTGCCTTTTTTACACACCATCTGGTTCATTTGGGCCTCCCTTCCCAGACAACAATAACAGCATCATCAAAGGCAATTCTTAGGTACCACTGCACCCTCTGGCCACTGTTTTTATGATTGTAAGTATGGACTTCATTCAGTGATTCCAAATTACTTGAAGACAAATTTCTTTTCAGAGGCCCAACCCAGTCTGCACAGAACTAGCAAAAATTTTGAGGTGTCTGGGGTTCTGTTATAAATTCATTTACAAATTAAAACTGTTGTTGCAACATAATGTGCAACCTACTCAATGCTTTTTTCCAACAAGCATCACAGTAGGTATAGGAGATTTTTTTTAAAGGCTATAATGTCTTTATGATTACACAAATGGCGTAACAAATCCTGAGAACAAGGGACTTTTGGTTCCCAGTTTGAGACTTCATCTGACTCTTAGTATATGAGACACAGAGTTCTTTGACAAAAAAAACCCTGGCCAGTGAAAAGAACTATTCAGAAATATTATGTTACCACTCCTTCAGAATGAATGTTAAATATTCATTTCCTTCCTAAAAGACAAAAGAAAAAAAAGGCAGAAAAAGAAGTCATACCGGGATACTGAAACACACCTATGATCATTGTTTTTTCTTAGTTGCATTTACATTGTATGGGCAAAATATTACCTGTGTACATATACTGAATAATAATTTGATTTTAGATTAGCTGTTAATTTATTTAGGTTTTGGGAATATTCAGTCTATTAGTTCTATTTTCAAAATCTAAAGATCACCATATCTTTAGAGAGGAAAATAGACATGCAAACTAGATTGTCTTTAATGGTAATCACACCTTTTTTCTTTTGTTTTCTTTTTGGTCAACCATCCATTTTGATGAAAGTATTTTGAGGGAGTTCTTGATGGAAATGAAATCAGTGAATCATTACAGCATAGCAATGGCTTGAGAAGTGCAGGACGTATAGACGGGACTTTGCCTCAAATCTACAGTACAAATTTAAGGGTAAACCATTGAGAAGATGTCCCATTTGTCATAATGTGCTATCCAACCATTAACGGAGGCCCTGTCCTTTTGTCTTCAATAACATCTTCCCATGTGAACTTCATATACCTTCATTGCTACCTGTATGTGATGACGTGAAATGTTAGTAAAGGTACTGTCTTGTTAATTTTATAATCCATTTTGATCTGTTTAAATCTGGATCAAAACATAGGGCTAAAATTCTGCACTGTTTGTAGTGCAAAACAGCTTAACACCACTTGTCTTCTCAAAACTGAGCAATAAAAAAGAGAGTGTTCAAATTATCAAAGTCAAGGCTTCAAGTCAAGTTTTTGAGTTGTTATGACACTTTCCAATCAAACAGCTATGGAGTTATTTTCAGCCCTCATATACATATTATTTCTCAAGATAAATGTATTACTAAGCACACTAACTGAAAACACCACAGTCAAAAGACCACAAGACTCACAGTTTTCTTTTAATTTATAGCTAAGTATTTTGTACAACAACACTGATACAGAACTAAATGGATCGAAATTATTTTTGTCAGACCACCAAAGAATTCCAACTTTCCAAATAAAACTTATCTAAATGTTTTCCATTCCTTAATTACATTAATTTAATAGAAATTATAAAACATTTAAATGTAACTGCATGCAGAACAACTTTTAAGTTGTTAATTCTGTAGCTGAACTGGTGAAAAATGTATTCAAATCAAAGTTCATTCATAATAAGATTTTTTAAGTTCTATCAAAAATCCATAATATATAGCTTTCTGTAGTGATAATGCACTAAAAAGTTGCAAAAGAAACAAAAGCTTCCTTATTACTTAAAAAAATAATTCTATTCATTCAGCCAATATGCAGGACTTTTTCAGGAAGATTCACTGTAAAGGCTCTCAACTGGGTCATACAGGGTATTGTCCTTCAGAATATTTCTACATCTGTAGACTCAGACACATGCATTCTGAGACATATTTCTAGTCAAAAAGAGGGATTTTAGCCAAGTCAATCAATAGTAAAAAAAAGAAAAGGGATGTCATGGACATAAATGCCTTTAAAAAGGCACTCAAAGCTAGTATTGATAACAACAGCAACTGCATCTTTCCTCCTGTGCACAAGCACCCTCCAATATGACTCTGAAGCTAACCTAGTGATCTTTCTGCATTATGGATCTGCTCAAAAACTTGCAGAACCCCATTTTGAATATTCAAGCTGCTGCCCCTCAAAGGAATTCTGGTGGCTCTTGGTATGCTCCAGAATGTTCTTTCCTGCATATCCACCAGCCCTAGCACTTGGGCATGATATGAATGGCTCCAGCCATCCTGCATATCTTTGTGGAGACACCATCCAACAGACACTGGGTAGAAATGCTGGACTCCTACAAGGAGCTTCACATCAGATCAACTACAAAGAGCATTTCCAGCCAGACTGCTTGCAGATGAATTACAGGAGGTCTGCAAGCACAAAAGTAAGGAGACACCTGGCCTTTAAAACATTCTAGGGGACCATTCCATTCAGGTAAACCTGAAACAAAGACAATAAAGTCTTAATATATGTGCCATGAAAATATGCACAGCTGAAATCTGGTAGTCAAAAGCATCATCATATTATCTTACTCAGCCTGCGCAGTACACATGAAGGTATTTAAATGAGGTATTTAAATGGCAAGTTTATAGTAAATTCTCACAGTACATGCATTTCTAACTTAATATTTCTCTTAACTGCAACACAAGACTACAACTATTATAGACTACAACTATATTAAAGATGTTATTTTCCATTCTTAGCTGACAGGAGAGGAACACTATTGCCGTAATTAAATCTCGGTTTATCACGTCATCAAATAATGATCCTATCATTTTGTATTTCTGTTTTTCATTTTCATAGTAAAGTCAGTCAGTGATTTTTCCTCCTCCTTTTCTTTCATGTTAATTTTTCTTTTTTTTTATTTTTTAAAGGCAAATTCTAATATAGATTTTAGATATAGCAGTTTCAGTGAACTTTATCACTCTCACTATTTATTCAATTTACATATATGAAGTATTTCAGTAGGCTGATATCTACAGCTCTTCTGGATGGTCATGCTGATGGCCAAGTAGTTCACTTCAAATGTGGTAATTTATCTGCATTCTTTTGTAGCTAAAATATTCAATTAATATTGATAATAAAAGTCGGATTTTTTTAAACAAAGTAATTAGCAATTATTTCATGAAACTTTTAAATTTTTAAAATTAACTCTTCATTAAAAAGTTTTTTCAGATTTTCAAAATGTCAGACATTTTCAAAATGAAAAATTTGCAACTTTGGATTTAATTTGTGCTCATTGAGAAATTGCATTTTTATAAAGTAAGAGATTAAAGAAAAACAAAAAAATGCTTCTAACTATTGAATTGAGATAGTAATTATTTGACTTGCTTGGGCAAGTAAATATTTTTTAGATTTATTTTAATTTCAGCTAGGAAAAGCTTTAAAAAAACAAAAATTCTCCTACAAAAGAAAAATTGACAGCTGCTCAACTGTTTTTATAATAGTTATAAAAACCATTTTTCAAAATACTTATTTAAGAATTAATGTAATAATTTCTATATTTCATAAAAGTGTAAAATCCTAAAGCAAAGAGGCTAAAATTAGACATGAAAAATAGAGATTCCTGAATTTAAAATTACTATTGAAAAATGGTGAATGCCATCAAAATCACATAATTATTCTTGAATAGTTTACATAAAGGAGTACACTAGAATATATTTCAGAACCAAATCCAGCCCTGACTTCACAGATTATGTATCATTTATTTGTCTGCATATGTGCCTTTTTTATTACTTGAGGACACCTAGGTAAAGAGAAGTAAAAAAGATGTCTCCAGGCACAAGATACATTTTTAAATTGTATGCTATGAAAATATGTGTATCTTCAAAACATCTTCCATTTCTGTGCCATGTGATTAAGAATTGCTTTCTTTTACAGTTCCCTAATCCTGAATGTCTTTGCCAATTTTCCCCTCAATTGACAAAAGAATGAGTCAGAAGAAAAATCTGGCCTTCAGCTTCCATTTCCTTTATTTTAAATTAAGACACTTTGCCTACTATTCTTTTTATTTGATGCATTCACAGGGAACAGCAGAAATTAGGCATACAGATAAGATTAATTAAATATACAGTGGCCAAATAGGCAGAATTCTCACTAATATAATGAATGTGCATATCATTAGTGATTTTATGATGAGCATCCCTAGAGGCCAGGATCCTGGGTCCTGAGGCAATGTACAGACTTAATAGATGTTTTCTAAAACAGCAGTGTGAAATTTGTCCTTTTGAAGACTGGACATATTTACTGTAAATGGGGAAACTTAAACCAAATCAGAAGTTGTGTGCCCAATTGCCACTAGTTTACTAGGCTTTCTCATTTCTCTAACTAGATTGCAGAATCTAAACAAACAGAAAAATTCTGTGCTTGTTAACAATCCAGCAATATTTTTGGCTGAAATATTTTGGATGAAATTTCAACAAGTTAAGATAAGGTGTGGATTCAAGAAGTCAATGAGGTAATGGTGCAACTGGTATTTAGCAGCAGGTGAGATTTCTGTAAACAATAATTAAAAAAAAAAAAAAACACTTCTTGCTCTTTTTCTCTCTTCTCTTCTTCTTTTTTCCAACAGGATGATGATACACGTGACAGTCAGTTTAGCATTACAGCATACGGAGTGGGCCCGTGTGTGCCAGCAAAAGACGGAATAACACAAAAGGGGCCAAATAATCCTGTTCAACCTGTACCAAAAAGCCCTGATGAGATGAGAAAGGTATTCATTGACCGGGCCAAGAAGATAGACACAATATCCAGAGCTTGTTTCCCATTAGCCTTTCTGATTTTCAACATTTTTTATTGGGTAATCTACAAAATCATCAGGCATGAGGACATTCACCAGTAACAAGATTGAGGCTTGCAGTACATAAAGATCTGACTCAGCAGGAGGCTTTTTGTTAGAAATGCACATCAGACGAGTGATTGGAAGAGTTAAAAACAATGAGGGGAAGAAAAAGGATCCTGCATGGCCTGCAATGACCAGCTAGAGTGGGATGGAAGAATGAAACCCAGAGAAGATACATCTGCTATTGCAAACTTTCCTTGTCAAACTAAATATTAACAACTTTTTCATTGAAAATCACTCTCTACTGAAGCTTTACTGCCAAGTATTTATACATATTGTTACATAGTGGTATAATTGTACAGTACTCTTTGATGGTCCTTAAATTTTTTAAATTCTGGTGTATTTTTAATTTTAAAAATGTTTCCAGAATACCCTAGTTAAATCCCACAGTATTACAGAATAGACTAGTGTTTGTTTGTAAGTTTTCTTTTAATTTTACAATATAATGACAAATTACAGATTGGAGAAAACAGCTTAAAGGACTTGATGTAGTCTTAAGGACAGTACTGGTGGTTTTACAGTGAACATATTTAACCATTTTAAGTCATTTAATTTATTCAATGTACTTCATATTACTGTTCCCCTGGAAGGTGTACGTTGAAATAATCTCAGCTCAAGGTATACAGCCTAACAGTCTACATTTCATATGAGAAATATACTAAAATTTCTAAAGTATTGATTCCTGCAAAGGATGTTTTTTCTTTTAATTTCCTATTCTTTGATAATTGAAGCATATTCTTTAATCTTTTTTTTTATATTTTAAGGAGTTTTTTTTCCTCAATTCATAAAACTGATACAGCTTGTGAAATAGACAAATTACGTCAAAATTTTGCAGTGCTTCATTTTGATTCAATGCAAAGAGATCTTGGACCGAAACTGAAAGCAAAGAGTCAACCATTTCACTGAAGCATTTGGAGGATGAATACAGTTATGTTTATGCACATTCATCTCCTATATATTACATAATTCCAGGAAGTTTAATTTATGAATGTGTCAAATTTTCTGACTCATTCCTTGAAGCTTGTTAATGTGACTTAGATACTGGTTAAGAAGCACTTCACAGCTTTGGAAAAACACACAGCTCTTCTAAAACAAAAAAGAAGAAGACCTGGATGGTCTTTTACTTTACTGGATTTCACATTAAGAAATAGGAGAACAACTATTAAAACTCTTAGATCTTCCCTGTTTGGGTTTAAATAAGCCATGTTAGTTGCTTCTTTGAATTGTAACACCATAGAACACATTTATGGCATAGTGTCCAGGCAAGAGTATTTACTTTTGTCAATCTATTGGCAAAACAAAACCATGCTATGATGTGAAAATATACCATTTAGTTATTAGATACTCTAAGTCCAGTCAGTGAGGCTGCTTCTCATTGCAAAATATTTTTATTTTGGGCATGTTTAAAATTTGTGCTTCTTTGATGATCAGAATGTGTATACAAAAGCAGAATGGGCTGGAGGCGAACATCTGGTGCACTGCCAAAGGCATGGTGCATATGAAGTAACAGAAGCAATGTAACTCTGTTCTGGGGCTTGTAACATAGCAACCTTGGGTTTGGTTTGGTTTGTTATTGTTTTTCTCCCAGGATTACTTAGAGAGATTCTATAATAGTAGCTCTCATATTTTGTTAAATTGTGTCAGAAAGAACATATATATATATATATATATATATATATATATATATATATATATATACTCCACCTTTATTTTAAAACTATTATGGTTTTATATTTTGCTTCATTTAATAATCTAAAATTATTTCAATTCACTTTTTGCTTTCTTTTTTTCTGATACTGTGTCTGCTTTTTTATTGGTTTCTTTATGTGCATGTTCCAAAAATCTTATTCGTTTATGAAGGTGTGAGGGGGTATCACAAATTTATGACTGATATTCACCTCTCTCAAAGTTAGGCTTAGTTATATTTTATGGAAAGGGTTGTTAACATGTTTCTTTATCAGCAAAATCAACTGTATTTTGTTTAAGGGCTGTTTTCAAATGCACATAATATTTGGCATGTGATTCTATTTTAATACAATGGAACCAAAATCTGTTCTCTCTGGAGCTGATGTTTTTGTAGACTTTTTTAATGGAATCATAACATTTACCAAGGTAACATAAGCCTCTGTAGTCCACTAACGTGTTTTTCAAAAGAAATAATAGCTTTAAATTTAAGCTTCATTTAGATTATTCCTAAATTACTTAGTATAAAGTCACGTGGTAGAGAAAGAGAGAAATGTCATCTGAGATGATAAGAAACTTCAAGGCACAAATGCCTGCTATTCACCACTTACTACAGGAATAGTCCAAAACTGCCAGCAGGCATGCCAGCCCTCTGTGCAAAGCTGGAATCAACAGCTACTGACATCAGCTAAGATTACTGTGAGATGACATTTTTGCAACTGTATCGTGAAGCATCAGGAAATGATGTTAAGGTGCAAGAATTGAAAGGTACTCTGCAGTACTTACCAGACTGCAGCATTTTTGTTGCCCTCCCATCAAAGAGATGGGAAATGAAGAAAAACACTCATCACAGAGATAATGCTTGAGGTAAATGGCACTTAGCAGGCTTCCTCCTACATATAAAAAAGACCCCATTCATTAGGCAGAAGTGATAGCTACCACACTTAACTATCACTCGACCTGGGCTCTGCTGAGAACAAGTCCTTGGCAAGCCACAGACAGCTTCTCATAAGCACAATCCCTGTGTGACAGGATAATGCAGCTTCATCCCAAGTCATCATTCAACATAGGTGCAGACCCTGTACTTCTCAGGTCATGTTTTTGTGGACCAGCCCTATGCTTTGAAAATTAAATACTGGCACTAGAAGAGCATTGTAAGACAATGAGAGCAGAGACACTGTAGGATCTGGAGGAATAGCCCAGTAACAGAGCTACTGAGGAGCTGACACAGTTACCATGAGGGGAAAAAAGGGGTCAAGCACCCTTAGTATTTTTACCAGACCTGCCATGTCTCCATAGGAACACTTGCTCAGGTAGAAGCAGTAACTGCAGGGGGAAACAATTTATTTCATCTGCTGCAAAGTTTATGTTGTTTTGTGACAGTGATTTCTACCTGCGCAGATTGACTTCCACACCATCCTCTTTCTTGATAGAAAGAGAAGCAAAACAGGAAGGTACAGGATGAAAAATCTGGGCTGTGCATAGCAGAACAGGAGCCACAGGGAGTGAGAAAGCCCAAAGCAGAGCCTGGAATCTCTCACATGACTGTCTTTTCATTCTGCACTAAAGAGAGATGTGCCCAATCTGTGTCACCCCTCAGAAGGCAAAAAACTTCAGCACCTTGAGAGAGGAGAAGAAAAGCCCCTTAGAGGTGCAGTAGAAATATTCCACTATCACTGTGCCAAACTCCTACTTAAATTGCAAACAACAAAATGCATTTTATTTTTAAAACTAGATTCAAATATCAACACAGTAGGCTTGCATGGTTAGAGGGATGTTTTTTTCTCTATAATGCTGATAAACTATGTGAAGATGTAAGGGAATTAGGAATACTAATATTGTACTACTTAGAACTCAGCTATTTTAACACCAAAATAAAGTACATTTTACTTTCAAGGACTTTTGACAGCAAGCAGTATTGTTTAAACAGGTTAGTGCAATTCAGGAGGAATAGAGCATTTACTTAAGAGTTAATTATTTTTCATACATTAGGTTTCTTTGGATTCCTTTTCTTATCGTTCATTCCAAAATCTGCTTTGTAAAGAATCATTTGTGACGTGTGAGAGATGATTCTGTTTACTCACTGGACAGAAATATTTAGGTGATTTAATGTGCACTTTATATTTAAGGAGTGAGATATTACTTCCACTTTGTGTATAACCCCTTACAGAACTGTAGACTGATAATGTAGATAAAGAGAGAATATAATAAACTGTACAAAACCTTATATTTTTTAACAGTAGGGAAAGATAAAAAGTCTAAGGTTAAGACCTTAGAAAAAGTATTATTTTCAGCAATAATTTTATAGTAGAAGGAAATGAATTTATTTATACCATTCCCAGCCCAAGCTGACATGATTGGTTGCAAAAGATACACTTTTCGTCCAGCTTCTACTCTCATTTGAACTATCATAGAAATTAATCTAATCCAACAGAATAGAATTTGGCCTTAAAATGTGAAACTGCTGAATGAGCTAGTAATACATACAGTACCCCTGTGAGGTAGTAAAATAAATTTATCCACATCTTACTGCACAATCATGTGGTTATTTAGATGAGTACAATATCAGATTTCACAGCTTTTTTCCTTTTGAAACAACTAAGAAGAAAAATATAAGTCTCAAACCAGACTACTTGTTAGTAATAAAATGGGTGTTCTGTTTTGGAGTGGTTACAGAAAAGGTGTCTTCAGGCAACAATAATCTACAGTAATTACTGAAGTACTATCAGTTTGGAAGGCTTGTGGAAGCAGGTTAGATGGCTAGAAGCAGTAGATTAATACCAGAAAAAGAGTTGGCTCATCCTGTCTTCTTTACATTCTTGAATATTACTGCACTTCTTCACTTTCATCTTTGTGAAATATGCAAGAAACATTTCTTATGTTTGTATTTTAATGTACATCAGAGTGATATTAACAGATGAAATGGACTCAAGTAGCTACTGATGTTCCATGAATGTGGAATTGTGAGCTGTATAAAAAGAAATTGTGCCATAAGCTTTTGACATAAAGGTTTAACATAATATATGGTATTTTGTGTGTTAGTGATCCTGGCTTTTTAAAGGCTACAGCGAGAAAAAAATAAAAATTTATATGATAGTGTATTAATAACTTGTCTGTGAGTTTTCAAAATATTCTCCTGTGAGTTCTCTCTGACAGCAATTTCATCTCAAAGTACTTCCTTTTTTGTAAAAATCTATAAATGTGTTGTGCATGGATTTTATTAGATTCCTTTTTATTGTATTACAGTATCATATTGCACTTAAACTGACATTCTCTGCAGTCAGAAGTGTTTAAAATGTGAAATTTATGGTGTCACCCATGTCATTGTAG